ACCAAGGCGGGAGGTGGCAGGGTTGGGTGGGGCGGGACGAAAACGGGAGGCGGCAGGGGTGCTGCTCTCTGGGACAATACGATGGCAGGAGGCGGCAGGCCGCCCAGCCACCCACCCCACCTGCCCGCCCGCCCGCCCGCCCAGCCAACCACCCAGCCACCCGGCGCACCTGACGCGTGGGTTCATCTCGATGATGACCATGGCGCCGTCCGCGGGGTTGATGGCCATCTGCACATTGCTGCCGCCGCACTCCACACCCATCTCGCGGATGATGTCCACAGAGGCGTCACGCAGCCGCTGGTACTCCTGCAGGTGGTGGCGCAGCTGGCCCGATGGGTTAGCGGGCTCCGTAACACCGCGAACATGGAAGAATCGAGGCCCCAGCAGACATAATTTGAGGCACCTTCCCTCTGCCTGCTCCCTGCACCACGCTGCTCCTGGCTACCCCACCTTGTCGGTGAGTGTCTGCACGGGGGCGACGGTGATCGAGTCGCCGGTGTGCACGCCCATGGGGTCCACGTTCTCGATGGAGCAAATGATGACCACGTTGTCGGCAAGGTCGCGCATCACCTCCAGCTCAAACTCCTTCCACCCAAGCAGGCTCTGCTCAATCTGCACCTGGCTCGTCATGGAGGCGTTCAGGCCAGCCTTGCAGATCTCACTGTAGGAACGGGGGACGAGGGGTGGAGCTTCTTAGGAGTGGAGCGGTCACGCGTGGGCCTGCTCCTGAAATGCCTCGACTCAAGCCAGCCCCACCGAGCACCAGCTACACTCACGCAAACTCGTCCATGTTGTAGGCAATGCCGCCGCCAGTCCCGCCCAGGGTGAAGGCCGGGCGGATGATCAATGGCAGGCGACCAATCTCCTCTGCCGCCTTCATGCACTCTTCCATAGTGGTGGCGATGCAGCTCTGCGCCATCTTTAGGTTCAGCTTGTCCATAGCCTGCGCAGTGGGGCCAGGGGCGACGTGGACAGGCCGGAGAACGTGATCGAGTCGGTTCATAGGGGTGCCTGGTGCAAAAATGTGCGCATCGCAGCCTGATGCGCACGTTTGCAAACAACTCGCGGTCCTCGGCCTTATTGATGGACGCCAGCTTGGCGCCAATCAGCTCAACGTTGTACTTCTCCAGAATGCCGCTCTGCGGGCGGACACGAGGGATGACAATAAAGCACCTGGGCGCCAGACGCTCCACCCAATTGACATCGACCATGGTTGCCAGGGCTGCCCGTTCCTGCCCCACCCCGCTTGACCACCGCCGCACCTCAGACAGCGCTTTTGCCAGGTTGAGGGCGGTCTGGCCGCCCATGGTGGGGAGGATGGCGTCGGGCCGCTCCTTCTCCAGGATCTGCTCCACAAGCTCGGGGGTCATGGGGCCCACATAGGTGCGGTCAGCAGTGCCAGGGTCGGTCATGATGGTGGCAGGGTTGGAGTTGAGCAGAACCACCTCGTACCCTTCAGCCCTGCGCCAAGGAGGGCAAGGTAAGGAGGCTGAGGCAGCTGGCAGCGAGAGGCCCGCAATACAAAAGCCACAATGCCTGGCCCTTGGCCCATCTGCTCTTTGGAGGGGACTGACAGAACTTGTAAGAAGCGGCGTCCCTGCCATCGTGCTGCTGCAAGATTCCATGGGCAGCCTATGGCATTGGGCGGCACCCCTTGCCAAGACTCGTGGCCTCGAACAAGGCAAGTGCTCCACCACCCCCTTGCCCGACGTGGCCTCTCAGAGTGCACCCCCCCCACACACACGCCCGCGCGCGTGCCGACGTGCTCACTTCAAAGCCTTGCATGCCTGGGTTCCAGAGTAGTCGAACTCGCATGCCTGGCCTGCACGATGAACAACGAGCGTGGCAATCATATTCATCCATGAGGACGGCTCATCCGCGTCCCAGGGGGCCTGGGTACCTCCAGCCGCCAGTCGTGCGTTGCGCAGGGCGCCCAGCCGCCGCCGAGTGGCTGCAGCACTCACCGATGACGATGGGGCCCGCTCCAAGGATCATGATTCTGTTGATTTGGCGATTGCAAGCAGGGGGAGAGAGGGAGAGGGAAGGGGTGCTCAGCTGCATGCCTAGGGGTCTAGGGCTTTGGCCTGGCGGCTGCCAGTGGCTCCCTCCGGCGCTGCCCCCCCGGCCCCCAACCCACTTCTTCAGGTCATCGCGCTTCTTGACGGTCCTGGCGCTGGGGGAGTCCCAGGCGCGAAAGTCGACGGCCGCCCCGCTGGTCGTAGTCTTCTCAGGGGCCGCCACGGCCTCGATCCGCACCACGGTGCGCTGGGTCCGCTTCCCAGATGGCCGCGCCCGCCTCAGCCGCCTGCTCAGCGGGGCGGTGGGGCATAGCTGCTGCTGCAGCAGCAGGCCCGAGGCCTGCACATGCAGACGAGCGGATGCCATCATCTGGGCACGTGGGAAGGGCGCAGCCAATGATCGTCCCCCACTACAACTGGTTTGCGTTTTCCTGCCACGGCGTCATGCTAGCATTGCATGGCTCTCTTCCATCACCACCATCATCACCCAACCATCAACATAACTGACGTTAGCGTTAATAGCTTCAGTGCACCGTGGTGTGGACATGGTGTTGTTCATTGTGGGGCTGGGCCTCGCCGACGAGCGGGACATCACCGTCAAGTGCGTCCCAGCACCCTGCACCCGCCCCATTGCATTGCCACCGCTGCTTCTGCCGCCGCCGCCGCCGCCTGCCGCCTGCACTGCCGCCTGCTGCCTTGGCTTGCAGCCCGGCTTTCCGGCTGCCTGTGCGTGCTCACAGTTGGCCCGCTTGCGGCACGGGCCCAAGCAGCAACAGGGGTGCGCATCAGAAGCACCAAGACATCCCACCCGTGTGCAGCACGTGCCGCCTGGTCGTTGCGCCACCTTTATGCCAACTCAAGCTGCCTGACATTCCCACACTGTGCTTATGCTGTTGGTTGCAGGGGCCTGGATGCGGTGAAGCAGTCGGAGCGTGTGTACCTGGAGGCCTACACCTCGCTGCTGCTGGTGCCCAAGGAGACGCTGGTGGGTTGAGGAGGGGGCTTGCTTCTGCACTGCGCAGATCCTGAGCACATCATCACTCTACGGACTGCCCTGCGCGCAGGAGGATTTCTATGGCAAGGAGGTGATCGTGGCAGATCGTGAGATGGTGGAGATGGTGGGTTGGCATTGGTGTACCTTCTGCTTCACGCGCATGCAGGTGGACCGGGAGGTGCCAATACTCGCCAAGGCCTGCTATGGCTGGCTGGCCTATGCATGGTTTGCGTGCAGGAGGCGGACAAGATCCTAGATGGCGCCCAGCAGAAGGACGTGTCGTTCCTGGTGGTTGGCGACCCCTTTGGGTGAGCTACAGCAGTTTGCTGGGTGTGTTGCGTGTGGGGCGCGGCATTGACGGACCAAGGAAGGCAGTATTGGCACACAAGAGGCTTCACAGCCGCCCCCCCCCCCCACACACTATGCCTTCTTCACCTTTACTGCGTGCTGGTCCCACCTGCCTCATGTTCAGCGCCACCACCCACACCGACCTGGAGATGCGCGCTCGCTCCCAGGGCATCCCCGTGTGCATTATCCACAACGCCTCCATCATGAACGCCGTGGGCGCATGCGGACTGCAGCTCTACCGCTTCGGAGAGGCCATCTCTATCGTCTTCTTCACAGGTGAATAACAGGCGAACATCGGCATTGGTCGTTCATTCGTGTGCAGAGTGCATCTTTCCTGCTTTAGTCTTGCCCTTTATTCTTCCAGGCGTGGGCCAGCTCCGTTGATCCTGCCCCTACCCCTGCCGTCGACCCGTTTGAAACATGCTGCTTCTCATCCTGCATCCCTGCGTCTCCACCCCCTGCAGACACTTGGCGCCCCGACTCCTTTTATGATCGGATCCTCTCCAACCGGCGCTCCGGTCTGCACACGCTGTGCCTGCTGGACATCAAGGTCAAGGAGCCCAGCCTGGAGAGCCTGGCACGCGGCAAGAAGGTGTATGAGCCGCCACGCTTGATGAGCATCAACACCGCGTTGAAGCAGCTGCTGGAAGTAGAGGAGCGGCGAAGGGAGGGGGCATACGAGCCCGACACAGTGTGCGTGGGTGTCGCACGCCTCGGCTCGCACTCCCAGCGCATCGTGGCAGGCAGCATGCAGGAGCTGCTACAGGTGGACTTTGGGCCGCCGTTGCACTCCTTGGTGATTGCAGGGGACATGCATCCCATCGAGCAGGAGTACCTGCAGCAATTCAGGGCGGGCAGCGGTCCAGATGCAGCAGGAACAGCAGCGCCAGCAGCAGCACTTCAACAAGACTGAAACGAAATTGCCATTCTATTTCTGCATTTGGAAATGCCGCCTCTCTCGCTGACTGGCATTCTCCAGCATCTCCTTCTCTTGACCCGCCGCGTGTGCCCACCAACCAACCCAGCGTGCACAGCCCTAGAGGATTGGTTACAGGTAAATCCTATGCAACCCTGCAGGCATGCTGCTACTCTTGTGCGCCGCCTGAAACACACCAGACTGTCTGCTGGGCGCCGAGCGGGTCAAGCTCAGCTGCATTCAAGGGGACAGGGGCCGGGAACACGGTGTAATGGAAGGCGCCACAGACACAAAAGCGAGGCACGGCAGCCACCCAAGCGAGCAACGAATAGCCAAGCAACAGCAATGCGCACATGATGCCGATTTTGTTGGCCACGTCCAGCGCATCATAGTCGGGGGTCAGCCGCACGTACGCCTTCTTTTGGCCATCGGGCCGAATGAGCGTGTTAATCTTCTTGGTTTGGATGTCGTACAGCCGCGACACTGCACCCTTGATGGCCGCCTTGTCCGCGCGCACATCCACAATGAACACCTGAACATAGGGGCCGGGGAGAAGAGGGAGTCGCAAGTCCAAACAACAGGCGGACAGCGGGTCAAAGGCCTGCCTGCTGGCACGCTGCCACATGCTCTCTTGCTGTCACGTGCTGCATCCCTGCTACGGTGTGACATCATGCTGCCTCCTCGTGGGACCACATTCACTGGCACTCAGCTCCAGCACCAATCAAGGACAGCTACTGCTGCAGGTCGTGCAGTGCCCCCGCATCTGCGCCACGCTCCAACATGCCAGCATGCTGCCAGCTGCTTTATGCATTCCGGCCCTGGCCGCACCAGCAACACCCGTGGGCCCTCACCAGAGTGTTGTTGTCCTCAATCTTCTTCATGGCAGACTCAGTGGTCAGTGGGAACTTGATCACCGAGTGCTCATCCAGCCTCTGCCTGGATGGCGCGCTGCAGACCAATCAGGGCACAGAACGCAGCACATACGGTATTTGAGAAGCCAGCCACAAAAAAAAAATTCTTCTGCTCTAGTGGCTGTTGTTGCAGCTCTGCCGCCGAAGCCACATGCCCGCCAGCTTCGTCTGCCGGTGCACCGCCCGCTCCCCCGCTGCATGCGCCCCGAGTCGTTTGGCACAAGTGCTGGCGAAGCCACATCCTCAGCTGCTTGCGACTGCCATGCTTGCTGCTCGTTGCGCCGCCTCTGCTGCAGTGCCACACGCACAGCTGCGCTATGGTCGTGTGTGTGCCACTGCCACGGCGACCAGGCCCGGCCTCAAGCCCGCTGCTCGCTGGCGTCTGCCGCACGATGCAATCTGCGACTGCCGCTGTCATGCCTGCATGGCTCACGGCCGCACAGGCCCTCGGCTGCAGCGCTGTACCTGATGCGAGGGAACTTGGGGTCCCGGCTGCGCACAAGTGTCTTGGGCCTGTGAAACACCACGCTGTAGCGTGGCTTGCGGGCCTTCTTGAATTGGCTCTTCTTGACCGCCTTGGCGGCCTTGGCGGCCTTGCTCTTGTCTGCAACAAGGAATCCGAGCAGGACATAACCAGAACGGCCTGGTGGTGGCGCACAGCAAGCGGCAGGGCGGCCGGCGCCATGGATGTGAAGCCGGGACGGCCGGATCACAACTGCAGCGGGCCGCGATGGCTCGCGTGCGACATAGGGCCAGCAGCAGCCAGGGAAGGTGAGGCAGGGGCCTGTGCAGCCCGGGCCTTTCGGCGTGTCCGCCCGCTGAAGCCCCCAGTCGGCAGTCATTCCAACCCCGGTGGCTTGCACTTGACATTGCAACCCGGCCCAGCCCTCCCGGGGTGCCCCCGGTCCCCATGCCCATGCCCGGCATCCCCGGGCTCAGGCTGTCGCGCACCCGCAGGAGCCATCTGTGCCCGCCAAGTCCAAAGAGGCGGGGGCAGGCGCTTGGGCCGCCCTTGAACAATGAGATCCAGGGTCGAGCCCTGTGGGCTGCAACGCAAAACCGTGTGCCGCTTCCCGCGTGTGCATGGAGCATTGCGGGCAGACCGATTGCCAACCTTCACTGCGGACACAGGCCGCCGGTGCTCAGCGCCTCCGTGTTTCTGAAAGCAACACCCTGCTGCGCAAGCGCCCGCACCGCGCAAGGTGTTTGCTGACGACGTCTGTGCTGTGTGGACATGGCGGCGGGGCGCCCGACCGGCCTGGACGCACTGGCGGGAGGCGTCGGCGACCCGCCACAGGCGGGCAGTGCACGGCTCCTTCCCTGCACCATTCTCAGCGGGTTCCTTGGCTCCGGCAAGACCAGTCTATTAACGCACATCCTGCGCAACAAGCAGGGGCTCAGGCGAGATATCTGTGCATGCCAGCTCGACAGTGCCGCCTGGGCTCAGGTCCACATGCGAGTCGCCCCCTTCCCTTTGCCTGCAGGTGTGCAGTGATCGTGAACGACATGGCGGAGCTCAACATTGATGCGAGCCTGGTAAAGAATGCGGCGTTGGTGCAGGCGGAGGAGCGACTGGTGGAGATGAGCAATGGCTGCATTTGTTGCACACTGCGGGAGGACCTGGCGGTGGAGGTGGGCCGCTTGGCGGCTGCCCGCCGCTACGACTACTGCATCATCGAGAGCACCGGCATTGGGGAGCCCATGCAGGTGGGCAGGGGTGGGCGGTCATGGGGCATGCAGCACACAATTGGCATTCGCACGCAATCTGCTGCTAACTGCACCCACGCCGCTGCTGTTGCAGGTGGCTGAGACGTTTGCCATGGCGACAGGGGAGGGTGGGTACGTGCTGGCCGATAGCGCGCGCCTAGACACCACTGTAACGGTGGTAGACGCTGCCAACCTCATGGCCAATTTGTAAGCTGCCGCGGTTAATCCCGTTGGCTTGGGCAGGCTGGTGTACCATGGAAGGCGAATCCTTGATACGGCGTTGGTATGCACACAATTGCTGCTCCCACCCCGCCTGTCCACCTACAGTGCCAGCGTGGAGAGCCTTCGCGATCGTGGCGAGCAGGCTGACGAGGAGGATGAGCGCGGCGTGGCAGAGCTACTTCTGGACCAGATTGAGTTTGCGGATGTGGTCCTTCTCAACAAGGTGCTGGGGAGCTGGGGAGCGACCATCATGCACAGCTGAATGTCACCCCCACCAAATGCTGGATGTCACCCCCACCACCACTTACTGCACTTGCACTTACATTCTTGCGTCCACACTTTTGTGTAGGTGGACCTGGTGTCGGCAGAGGAGCAGCGGCGGTTGCTGGGCTTGTTGCACACTCTCAACCCGGGGGCAGACGTCATCCCTACTCAAGTATGTCACCAATGGGGCTGTGTGGCAAAGGACGTGCGCAAGAGCCTCGCCCCATGCTTTTGCAATCACAAGCTCGCCTCGGGTCCTCAATTCCTCAAGCATGTCCTTTGTCCCTATGCAGCATGCACGAGTTCCATTGACAGCCGTTATCAACACCGGGCGGTTCAGCATGGAGAAGGCGGCACGGAGCGCAGGCTGGCTCAAGGTGCGCGGAAGTTGACCTGCCGTCCACCTTGCGGCATGCAGACCATGCTGCTGCTCCTCAATGGTGTCCTGCCTCCTCGGCCCATCCCTGCCTCCTCCATTGCAGACATTGCAGGACGGTTTCACTCCCGAGACAGAGGAGTATGATATCAGCAGCATTGTCTACAGGTCTGTGATGGAGCTTAGCTGGGGATGGTGGGGGTTGTAGAGCCAGCCCATCACATAAACCGGCCCGGCACCACACCAGCAAAACCCGCCTCGGCAGCCCACCCGCTGTCACCACAACAAACCGCGGCAACCCCACACTCACGCCCCACCCCGCAATCCTGCCTTACAGGGCACGCCGTCCCTTCCATCCCGCTCGCCTCCACGATTTCCTCAACCGCCACTTTGTACTGCAAGAGCCCGACTGGTCCGAGGCGCTGGCCGCAGAGCAGGAGCGCAACCAACCGCTCGCGCATTGCGATGGATGCCAGGACCGCGACCACAGCCATGTGTTTCGTGGCAGGCATGACAGCCGCAGCCATTTGGAGGCATCCCAGCTGGCGGGTCCAGTGCAGCAGGCGGTCCTGCAGGCATCTCAGGCATCCCAGCAGGCAGCAGCGGCTCTGCAGAGCGTGGTGCAGCACCACGCGGCGCTGGGCAGTGGCACGACCATCCAGCAGCAGGCGCTGCTGGCGACTGTGGCTGCTGCTACCTCGGCAGCAGCTGCGGCTTCCAGTGCAGCAGCTCTGTTACTGTCACAGCTGCAGCTTGGCAACAGTGGTGATGGTGTGGCTGCTGCCCTGGACGCTCCTTGCACCCATGGCTCGCAAGAGGCGCCGGCGCAGCACCACCGTGGTGGGCAGCCATCAGTTTCAGCGGCAGAGGCACAGCAGCGGCAGGCACTGCTGACAGCCACCTGCGGCCAGCTGCTGCGCTCCAAGGGCTTTGTGTGGCTGGCCACTAGGCCCAACCTGTGCGGCGAATGGAGCCAGGTGACTCCCTCGCTCCGTCGCCATGTCACGTGGTCTGTGAACTTGCGATCTGTGAACTTGCTGGTGCATTCCCTGCCCACTTCTCTGCCGTTCTGCCGCTTTCAGGCTGGTGGCATCCTGCGCCTGGGCATGGGCGGACCCTGGTATGCAGCACTGCCAGACGAGGCGTGGCCGCAGGAGGAAGAGCATCGGCAGGCAGTCCTCAAAGACTTCCAGGGGCAGCATGGCGATCGCAGGTTGGCAACCTCAGCTGGCTGGGTGGCTGCCTGTCTACTTGCCTGCCATGCCTGTCTTGCACCCCCTCATGTCAGTGAATTTGCTTCTTCATTCCGCCACGCTTTGCTGGCTTGCCTGCGCAGGCAGGAGCTGGTGCTGATTGGTGTCCACCTGAATGGCAAGGCCCTGACTGCGGCACTTGATGGCTGCCTGTGCTCGGAGTGCGAGATGCGGGCGGCGACAGCTTGGCAGCTGGTCGACCCATTTGCAGAGTGGCCCACGCTGCAGCAGGTGTTGGATGGGGGCCAGGATGAAGAGCAGGAGGAGGAAGACGCAGTGGAGGAGCTGGAAAGCGCTGAGGGCATCATGCCCTGCCCTCAGCCAGGGGCTGTGCACGACGTTACCTGCGGCGCTGCGGAGCTGCAGCAATGTTTTAATGGGCTGGTGGCCCAACGGGCAGCAGAGCAGGGAGCAGGGCCAGCACCAGCACCGGCGCTGGGCGTGGTCAGCTGGCACGCAGACTGGTGCGAGCCGTGCCGGCAGGCGGCAGCAGCATTGTGCCTGATGGCAGTGCAGCACCATGCTGTCGCTTTCTTCACCCTGGATGTCGAGGCCTCCTCCGCCAATTCGGCTTTTGCTCTAGAGAAGGTGCTGCGCAAGGCAGAGTCGCGGCGAGCGGGGGCTAAGCCCCTCCTGAAGAGCCACGACAAGTTGCCCTGCATTACGTTGCACTACCTGCCAAGTCTGCAGCCGGTAGCCATGCTGGCCGGGCCCACCGCAGTGGAGCAGCTGAAGCAGGCGCTGCTGGAGCATGCTTGCAGGCAGCCAGTAACGCCAGCAGCAGCACTGCAAGCAACAGTGCAAGCTGCCACTGGTCCGGGGAGCAGCGACGGCCAGCAGCAGTCTGCCGCAGCAACTGCTGCAGCAGAGCCCAGCAAGCTGGTGGTGCTAAAAAAGGGTGCAACAGAGGCCAAGGAGCTACTGGCGGCAGGCAGGGCCCGTGGCACACCAGTACTGGTGGTGTGGACGCAGAGCAACGCTGCCAACGAGGAGGTTGCGGCCGGCGCGGCAGCACTGCTTGCAGCTGCTGCTGAGGCGGTCACTACTACACACGGCCTGGTGCTGGTGGATGCCGATGCCGCCGCCTCCAAAGCCAATGAGCTGCTGGCAGGGGCGCTCAGAGTGCGGTCCTTCCCTGAAGTCCATGTGTATTGCAGTATGAAGCTCGACAGCAAGCTTACGGGTACCTCCGCCACCCCTGCCAAACTGCTTCGCCTCGCGGCTCAACTTATGGTGGGCGCTGCAAGGATTGGAGGCAGCAGCAGCAATGGCAGCATCCCCCCTTTGCCTGTTGGTGCCACGGCTGCGGTGCTGCTGCCACCAGCCCCTGCAATGGCAGCGCCTGGACCCTTCGACCCGCCCGCATCCAAGTTTGCCAAGCCGGGTGCCACCAAACGCTTCTCTGATGGTAGACTGGGCCACTTCTTTCCCAAGATGCCCTGCCTCAGGTGTGAGGCACATGCCCCTGGCTGCTGCTGGCTTGAGGAAATTTGGCCAGTAGCTGGCCCTGTTCAAAATTAACGTTGTGTTCGCCTGTCGCTCCACCGCCAGCGCAGATGCGGCTGCCCCTGGTGGACCAACGAAGATTGGGATGCGCGCTGCCTGCGCTGCGGGTGGGATTGTGAAAGGTCCGGGTATGACGACAACAGTCAGCCGCTGCCCAAGCACCGCGCTAAGTGGGAACACTTCGTTGCGGCCATACGGGCGGGGCATGTACCCGCCTGGGCTGGCAAGGCCAAGAATTAGCACATTGGTCCTTCCTACTGTACATGCTGTCCATATTCTTGCGATTGTGGCTGCCACAGAAAAAGGAAGCTTAAAATAGACCGGCGCTCGTAGCAGACAGGTGGCGCCAGCTTTATAGCTGCAGCTTGGCGGCCGACAGCGCGCTCGCACTGAGGCTCAGCTTCTCCACCTGCCCCCCAATCCCGTTTTCTAACTGCCTCAGTCCAGTCTTGGCGGGAGAGGCCACAGGGGTGGCACGGCCGCTTAGAAAGTGGTCTAGCTTGCCTGCAGCGTGCAGAAGGTGGGAAGCAAATGGCCCAGACGCGTGGGCCAGGGGCCAACAGCATGGCAGCCCATCTCCTGCCATCGCTGGCTTGACTTGGCATGCTGCCACCCCCGTTGGCTGTTATAAGATGGCATGCAAAGGGACGGCAGGCGGCCTGATGCCAGCCACTGGCAGTAGCAGACGCACCCGAGGAGGCCAAAATGAGGCCCAGGAAGAGCGGGGAGGGCTTGAAGGGCCGCGACTTGAACTCAGGATGGAACTGCAAGTAAGGGGTGCGGTGAATGGGACGGCAGAGTTGAGGGACACCTTGGGGCGAAGATGTGGGCAGAAGCGGCCAAGGAGCCTTGCAGTGACGCTAAGTACTCCAGCAGCTTGCCCTGCACCTGTGCCGCCACAAAGAAGGGGTGTCCTGCCAGCTCCACAATCTCCATGCGCGTCTCTGTGTCGTCCTTGCCCACAAACCGCAGCCCCGCCGCCTCAAACTGGGGCACCAGCTCGGGGTTCACCTCATACCTGCGATGGGGGACAGGTTGGTACCCAAAGCCTGCAGCTTCCACCAAAGCCCTCAAGGGTGGAAGCTGGAGCAGCAAATTGTGCTGATGCAGGCCAGGCAGGCCCTGAGTAGTGGGGGACGTTGATACCAACTGACGCCGTACCTGTGCCTGTGTCGCTCATCCACATACTGCTCCGACTGGTACAGCTTGGCGGCAATGCAGTCCACGGTCTGCAGCACTGTGCGCCGCGCACCCAGACGCATGGTGCCGCCAAAGTGGGTGGTTGAACCTGCACCAAGAGCCGCACGGGGTGGGAACATACTGGCAGCAAACCAGCAGACAGGGCTTGGACAGTCAGGCTGCTGAGCTTCTTCAGAGCCGGCATTGCCTGACGCCTTCATTGCAAGCACACCCACCCTCTGGCATGAAGACCACCACGGGGTGCCCAGTGGCCTGGTCCCATTCTGTGCTGTTGGCGTCCTCCATGCCTAGCACATTGCGTGCAAACTCAATCACGGCAATCTGCAAGCGAAGTGTGTGTGTATGTGGTGGTGGGGGGTAGGCTGCCGCACGCCAACGCGCTTCCAAGAAGCACCACACACAGAGCACTCGCCACGCTACCCACCTGCATGCCCAGGCAGATACCCAGGTAGGGCTTGTCATGCGTGCGCGCATAGTTGGCTGCCAGGATCTTGCCCTCCACGCCGCGCCCGCCAAAACCGCCAGGCACCAGGATGCCATCTGCCGCCCGCAGTTTGGCCCACGCATCTGCAACACGCAGGGCAGCAGCCGTGGCATGGGTCAGGCTGAAACTTTGCTTCTGCTCCCACAGCCTCTGCAGCAGCTGTGCGAGGAGGCGTTGATACCTGTCAACACCCAGGCTTGCGTCCCACCCAAGCCCACCCACCTTCGTAGGCCGTCGCGTCTTCGCCGCGCGTCGACTCTTCCAGATTGGATGCCTCCACCCACTCCAGCTTCAGCTTGCGGTTGGCCGCCATGCACGCGTGCTGCAGGGCCTTGGTGACGCTCAGGTAAGCGTCGCTCAGGTCTGTGTACTTGCCCACCATTGCGATGCACACCGGCTCCTTGAGACTGTCCCACTTGTCTGCAATCTTCTGCTTCCACAGGCTGGTGTCGATGCGCGCCGCGCCGCCCAGCCCCAGCAGGTGGCAGATGGTAGTGTGCGCGCCCTGCGCTTGCATCATGAGTGGAACGCGCCAGATGTTGGACACGTCATGCATGGTCAGCACCTGGCTCGCTGGCACGTGACAGAAGGAGGCCTGCAAGAAGAGGAGGAGAAGAGAGGCATCAGTACAGCAATGTGCGGCATAACAGAGGCTGGCTCGTTGCTCACATCGCAGCGGCATTGGCTGGTGGGGGCATCAGCTGGCTGCATGTGCGAAGCCTCCTGATGCCCCCACTCCATCCCCACCCACTCACCAGCTTCTCTCGCACGCTGTCCTGAAGCGGCTCGCTACTTCGGCAGGCCAGCAGCTGCGGGTTGAGGCCCAGGCTCCGTAGCGTGGCCACGCTGTGCTGCGTGGGCTTGGTCTTCTGTTCGCCCACCACGCCAATCACCGGCACCAGGCTGACATGCACACAGCAGAAGTTGCCTGCAGACAAAAGGGGCAGAGTAAGCACACCAGGGTGACGTCAGCTGGCCAGGAGTCGCTGAAACCTCAGCGCTTCAGCAGCAAAAAGAAGGCCCGGCTCTGCCAACGCCGCCTCACCCGCACCAACGCGAAACTGGAACTGGCGCAGCGCCTCAATGAAGGGCATGGACTCGATGTCACCCACAGTGCCGCCCAGCTCGATCACGCACACATCTGGCACACCATCGCGGCCATCCACGGGCGTATGTGCCACACGCTCAATCCAATCCTGAATGGCGTCAGTGATATGAGGAACCACCTGCACCGTCTTGCCCAGGTAGTCACCACGCCGCTCCCGCTCAATCACTGCCTGGTACACCTTTCCAGTGGTGAGGTTGTTGTCCCGAGACAGGCTGATGTCCAAGAAGCGCTCATAATTTCCCAAGTCCAGGTCAGCCTGCATGGGAGGAAGGGTGGGAGCGCGGGTCAGTGGCACACGCGGCGCTACTTTGCAGCGTTTGGTCGGCCAACAGGGCCGACAGTTGCTAGCGGTGCAAAGCGGTGGCCAGGCAAGCGTGCCCATCGACAGATCTCGTTGTTCAGAACAGTTGCCCCGCTACGTCACATCTCCGCCCACGACCCTCGCCCACCTCGCCGCCATCGTCAAGCACAAATACCTCGCCATGCTCAAAGGGCGACATGGTGCCGGCGTCCACATTGAGGTACGGGTCTGCGTGGCAGCGATACAGGAGGAGCAGGGCCTCAGGCAGCCACGGGCACCTCTGGTGGCAGGGCGCCGGCCACCCGACGCCGCCCGCGCCGCAATGCATGTTGGCTCTGGGTGGGGATGGGGCGCTGCACGCACTTGGACAGCAGGATGCCGCTGCTCAGACCCACCAATTTTGATCGACGTCACCCTGTGCCCGCATGCCTTGAGCAGCACTCCAATGGATGAGGCCGTGACGCCCTTGCCTAGGCCGCTGACCACGCCACCTGCATACCACGCGCGATGCCGTCGCCGGGACGCGCAGGAGCAAGCAGCAAGCAGCAGCAGCCGCCCACCGGTGGCGGCCCTGCAGCCGCCGTTCACCTGTAACCAGCACATATTTGACCATGCTGCCGCCGCTAGACAGCCACCACGCTGCGCGCTTGCGCTACTCCTTCTCGTCGCTCAGCTGTCTCTTGAAAAAAGGCTGGGTTGCAAGCACCAGCACGTGACGACAAAACCAAAAGGTGACATCGATCGGTGCTGCAGGGCTGGCAATGCATTGCAATGATGAGGCCCCGCGACGGCTTTCCAGCCGCCATTCAAACGAGGCGGCGCGGACTTTGGGCCGTGCACGGAATCATCCCCAGGCCATGAATGATGCTTTCCTGATCACACGGCCCGTTTGGGGTTGTCTACTACTCATTGCTCTCCTCTCAATGGTTCACTGTCGCGTGGTCGCCAAGCGCCCACGGCAAGACGGAGGGAGACGTACCCGCGCATGGAGCACAGAGCACCTCAAAGTTCCCGTTAGCTGTAGTGCGGCCCCCTGCGCGCCTTCCAATGGTGCTTCTTTTTTCAGGTGGGAGGTTACATCATAGTGCACGGGAACGTCGCAACGCCGCCGTCACTTGGCCGCTTTCTTCTTCCAAATCCACTTGGGGTTGTCGTCGCGCGGCTGCACCGGCATGGTGCTGCAGTAGGGCACATAGTCCAGGCCGTTGTAGGCCGCATCGTTCAGCGACTTTCTGATCTGATACTCCCACGCATCGTCGGGGATCCTGGCGTGCGACTGCGGGCGCCGTGGCAGGACGGGGCAGCAGAGCGGGTTGGGCGGCAACGAGGCGGTAAACGCTCCCTGTGGGCCGATCAAGGTCTGCTCCAGGCAAAACTGCACATCTGGCGGTCCACAAGTGAGCAGGGACACCAGCGGTCACTCACTGCGGCGGTCCACAGGTCGGGGGGCTGCAGGTTCTCTCCCGACATCGTCGATCGGTCTTACTAGGCTGGCTGAGGCGGCGGGGACGCCGGCCAGGGCGGCCCTCGAGTAAAACCGAGTCGGTCAGCGCTGGCTTTCCAGCATTTCCTTTGGAAAGCGGGCATGAGCTCTCAAAGCAGCAATTACGCGCCCTGGGAGCACCCCTGATGGCGACAGCTAATTCTGAAGACGCCACATCCTGTGGCAGAGACGCCGTGGTGGTGTTTGCAAGGGCACCACGCCCTGGGCAGGTAGGGTAACCCTCAATTCTGGAGCGGGCCTCACCTAGGAATCCTATTCTTTGGGACAAGTGGCGCGCCATGGTCACACCTGGCCATTGTGCCCAGTTGGCACGCGCCGCCGACGGCTCCTGCCAGTGGCGCCGCCTACTTTGGGCCATTTTCCGGCCATTTCCTCGCCCCAACTTTTGTACACGTATAGTTACTATCGAGTAACTGTGCCTTCAACTCCATGGGCAGGTCAAAACACGGCTGGCGGCATGTGTGGGCAACGAGCCTGCTGCTCTGTTCTATAAACGCTGCGCGGAGACCGTCATTCGCGAGATGGCCAGGTACCTTGTTAGCCAATTTCCAACTAATGCCGCCGCCGCCATCAACGCGTTGCACCTTTGTAGATGCCCTTGTGGGAAAGCAGCAACGGGGATGCCAGCCCCATTCATGTGCAGCCTGGCTAGAGTCACCATGTATCTGTTTTACTCGAGGGGAGAAGACAAAGCAGAGGTTGTAGAATGGATGTCGCAGGCTGCCGTGGTGAGCGGACAACAATAAGTCTCTGTGGCTTGGTTCCTGTCTTGGCTCACAGCTGGCCACTCAGCGAGTTCTCTGTGCTGCAGCCGGTCGTGCATCTGGTGCCGCAGCTGCAAGACCCAGACCTGGGGGCACGTATTGAGCACGCAATGCGGCATGCCTTCAGCTGCCGCCACGAGCGAGTGGCCATCGTTGGGACTGATGTGCCCGACCTGACCAGCAGTTTGGTGGCAGGGGCTCTGCAGGCCTTGGACAGCTATCAGGCAAGGATGCATGGTGTGAGAATGCTGGTGGCGCGCGTGCGTGCGAAGGATGGCCGAGCGGTGCCCACATACATGCTTTGCAATCGTTGCACCCGCACCTTCCAGGCTGTGTTTGGCCCAGCAGCAGATGGCGGCTTTTACCTGCTGGCTCTCAGCACCCTGCCATCAGGGCTGTTCCAGGTGCTCCTTGCAGTGCTGGCTGGCAGCATCTCCCGTGCTGGCCGACAGGAGCTCCCACCACCCCTGCTCACTTTCCACCCTCGGCTTGCCTGCAGGGCATCCAGTGGAGCACACCATCTGCCCTAGCCAACAACCTGGCCAACGCTCGGCGGCTGGGCCTGCATGTTGCACCCTTGGAGGCCATGGACACGCTGCCAGACATAGACACTCTGCAGGACCTGCAGCGCTGGTGCAGCAGCAAGCAACACGCTCTGCGCCAGCAGCATAAACACTCCTATTTGCAGCAGCAGCTGCAGGTTGCCAATGGCGTCAGCCTGTTGGAGGTTGCTCTCCAAGTTGCTGCAGGTTGTTCGACACCATGAGCTGTGTGCAGTCTATCCATCCAGCTGTATGGGACTTCCTTGCTCACAACATGGCTAGCAATAACTGTAGAAACAATTAGTGAAGCGGATCGAGATCGGCAAAAAAGGTGTTAGGGGCAGTGACATTCCGGCGGTGCTTTGAGGGTGACCCGCTGCCACGCATGGACAGCCCGCTGCTGGGGTGCGGATGCATGGGAGAGCCGGGCTGCATGGGTGAGGCGGTGCCGTTGGTTGCCGCCACCCCGGACACGCCGATGATGCCAGTGCGTACGGGGGATGGCTTGGCAGAGGCGGCGGCAGCAGACGCGGGGGCTGCCCTAGGGCCGTCGGGCTGTGGGGACGCGCAGGGGTTGACATTAACAGGGAAGGAGCGCAGCTGCGGTGCCTGCTGTTGGTCATTTCCCCTGGGCATAGCCATACTGGTGCTGCTGCTGGAGCGCAGCTGCTCAGATGCAGCCTTGTTCAAGCTGTGGCTGCCCCCGTTTTCCAGGCTGGCATGAGTCAGCTTGGCATCCGAAGCATCCTCCAGGCCCGCCATGGCCACAGATGCCGCAGCTTGGGATGCAATGACGCCGATTGCAGGTTGCCTGCTGCTGTCCTTAAAACTGCCACTGACTGATTGCAGCAAGGTGGGCGTGGGGGCATCTCCACTACCGCCGCCTGGATTGAAGGCCACCCAGCCACCGCTGGCACGGCAGGCGCTGCCACTAGCCAAGCCATCGTCGAGCACCTGCAGGCGTATATCCTTCCCAGCCGTGCTACTGCCAGGCGTGCTGCCAATGACCGCGCCTGGTGCTGCTGACGCCGCAGATGCAGAAGCAGGCGACGTGCTGAAGTCGGCGGTGGCACAGCCAATTGCCTGCTGCTCCTTGGGCTCCTGCATGGCCTTCTCTGCCTGCTGCCCCTGTTGATGCAGCTTGTTGATCTCCTCAGACTGCTGCTGCACCTGCCTGTGCAGCCGATGCACCTCTGCATTCCGTGCCTGCACGACGCACAGGGGCAGCACGACTTGAAGCTGTCACACTGGAGAACAGCAGGCCTCATGATCTGGCAGCACCATGAATCATTAATTCATGCTGAAGCGACGCTCTGCATTGCAGCAATTCAACTATCCAGCTGGCAAGTAGAGGCTCTTCTACTTCCACCACCAGCTGCTGGTTCTACGAACTCACATCGAGCAGTCGCTCCAACACTGCACAGTGCTGCCGCAGCGCTTCCAATTCGCCAAGCGGATCCTCAATTGCGCTACTTGGCATAGCTGCTGGTTCTGCCACCTGCCGCGGTTGTGCTGCTCCTTCTGCAAGATTAAAGCAGTGCATGATTGAAGCAGCACAGCAACCACACGCCGCCTGCGCTACAGCGATGCAAGGAGTTTCTCGGCCGAGCAGGAGTGCAGCATGCACAGGCATCACCACCAGCGTCACCTGCGATTGAGAGCATGCTTGATGCTTCAGCATGGGCATGGGGTGGCGGGGCGACTGACGCACTGCCAGCTGAGGATACATTGGGGGAGGGGTCCAGGGTCATGTGGGCAAGCCCTGCAGAGAGTGGGCTGGTCTCCATAGGCTCAGCTGCTGCCTGCGACTGAGGTAGCGCAACGCCAGCCGTCTGCGGCAGCAGGCTTTCCGCTACACATGCTGCCGTTGGCGCTGGCTGCTGGACTGAAGGCACAGGATAGCGCTGCATTTGCCGATCAGGCTGAACCGGGGGCTGCGCTTCCCGCTGAGATGCCTGCCCCTGCAGCTGAGCAGCCGCATCGGGCATGTCCTCCCCAAAAGATGACCAGAAGCTGCCGATGCTGCCTGCTGCCACCCCTGCTGCAGAGGCCGCGCTAGCTGGCTCCCCCTTTTTGGGGCTGAAGGTGGCCCAACTACCTATGGACCCTGTACGACGCCGAACTGCGTTGGTCGTGTCAGTGCTGCCCAGGCTAGCTGCTGGTGGCGGCGGTGTGGAGTCAGCAAAGTCTGCCCAGCCCTGGGAAGGCACCCGCTCATGCTGCCGTGGAGCTGCAGTGCTAGCGGCGATGCCGGCAGGGCGTCCGACTGACACAGGCTCAGTCTGCTGTTCTTTCTGCTGCTGTAAGGTGGCCATAGGTTGAGAGAGCTCACTGGGCACTGTCTCGCTCAGCCTGGCAATCACCTGCACGGCATCAACAACAGCCAAGTGCCCACCAACTGACCACAGGCCTGGCTGTCAATGTGGATGCACAACAGAATGCTCGCAACTGCTAAAATCCGCGGCTGTCAGCCGCAACTTTTCAAACAACACAGTGGCATAGCATGGCATATGGCACTTTGTGAGCAATTTTGAACACATCTCAAACAGACACACCTGCTGGATGGTGGGCCGCTCCTTGGGACTGACATTGAGCATGTCCTTGATCAGTGCACGCAACAGTGGAGGGCGCCCCTCGGGCACAGTGATTTTTCCATTCAGAACCTGCGGGCAGGCAGGCAGGTGGACCAGTAGACAGTAAAGAGCCTCACAAAGGCCAAAGGCACGTCCCTGCGGCCTAGCCCGTCCTCTCAGCTATTCACAACCTTCAAGCGCTGTCCCTCATCTGCTACTGACAGCCAGGGCAAGGCGGCAAGCAGCCTGGCCCATCCACCAGCCTGCTCCCACCTGTAGCTTCGCCTCCCCCTCGAACGGCAGCTTGCCGTAGGACAGCAAGTAGAGTAGCACGCCCAGCGCCCAGATGTCAACGGGGGGTCCAATATATTCGCGTGCAAACAGGTCATACAGCTGCACACAGGAAGTGGGATGACGTTGCCGGGGGCCTCAGAAGTGGGGGCCCACTGTTGTGGGGTTTGCCCCATCCCCGGTCGCCACACCAAACCTATCACCAGCCCAATGAACTGCATGCCAGCACCGACACCGTTTTTGCAATTCTGCACTCAGAGACCCCACCCGCCCAAAAGGAACCACCCCCACACCTCTGGGGCGCGGTAGGCAGGCGTGGTGTAACGCCGAACTACCTCCTCCTCCAATGCAATGTCACGAGCCGACTCCAGCACACCATGCCGCGCGCTGGCGCTGCCAAAATCGCAAAGCACCCAGTTGCCGTTAGGTCCCAGCAGCACATTCTCCGCCTTCAGGTCCCTGCAAGGCGGGATGCAAAAATTGCACCAGACTCAACTCCAGCACCACCTGCAGCTAACAGGGCAGCAAGTAGCAGGGGCACACACCGGTGTGCCAGCGGCTGCTGCAGGCCATGCATCGCTTCCACGGCACGGCAGATTGGCATCGCTATGCGTAGGAGCGTGGCATCCTCGACTTGGTAGGCACGCTGCTGCAAGAAGGCCACCAGCGTGTCTGGGCAGAAGTCCATGAGCACAAAGGCGGCAGTGGGGGCAGTGGGTGGCCCGGCCACCGCCGCATCGTGCAACCGCACGATGTAGGGACAGCCGGCCAGCTGCTCCATCACTGCCACCTCCGTATCCACATCGCGGGCGGCCTCAGGGTATCCCCTGCAGGGCGTGGGGGGAGGGAACAGGGGAGTAGGAGGTGACGAGAGCGCCGGCTAACCGCAGGCAGGCGGTTAGGCTCCCCCCGGCGCTGGCACGGCTGGGGCCGGGAGGAGACCCACGTGAGGACGAAGTGCTTGAGGGCAAAGACCTCGCCGGTGTCCACGTCCGAGCAGCGATAGATGGTGGCGAAGCCCCCCTCCCCCAAGAGCTTCTCGAGCTTGACTACCCTGTGGCCCACGGTGACAGTCTTTCCTGTCAAAGCACCGCTGTCCCGGCCCTGGGCCAGGTTCTTCAGGGCCTTGAGCATGGGCCCGCCTGCCAGGCGATGCAGTCTTGCAAGTTAAAAAACTGTCAGCTCCTTCCCTCCTCTTCCCCAAGTGCGGAGGAAACGTACGCGGTGGGGTCCTGTTGGGCCACGGGAGTGGAAAATGCCATTGGCATGCCAGCTGGGCAGCACTAGAGAGCTTGCACTAGAAGCAGAACTGCTAGAATCTGGCTTTTGGCAGGTGCCATATGATCAGTCCAACTGAGCTGCAGCAGCTGGTGTTGGCCAGCCGGGACCCCAGCGCCGCCCAGCTCTCTCGCCTGCCAGAGGTGGCAACCAGCGCTCGCCATCTGCTGCAAGACATCCGGCAGGGGACCCTGGGGGACGGGGAGGGGCAATGCAAAAGGCAGGATGACCTGCTGCTATGCTACCGCGTGCTGCGCAACTCCGCTGCTGCCGGCCGCACCGCCTGCGCCGCACTGTTGCGCCTTGGCCTGCTGGACCTGGTGCGTTCCACGCTGGACCTCATCAGCACCGCCACCATTTCCCTCAACTGGCACCTGCCAGCTGTGGTCGGCCAGGCACTGGCCAACCTGTGCAACGCGTGTGGCGACAGCGCGGCTGCCACCTGGGCAGCACTGTTCCCACTGCACCTCGGCATGTTGGCCCACGTGAACGAAGGCAAGCGCCTCAGGCTGTGGGTTGTGGTGGCAGGGAAGCTGGGGCTAAACGTTTGAGTCGCAGGTTGTGCCAGCCCCAGCATCTGTGCATGCTGAACAATGCATGTTCGACTGGGGTTGGGTGCCCTGCTCGTCCCCCGTTGACTTGCAGGTCGCACCCAGGCGGCCAGTTGTCTCTCGCTGCTGGCCTGCTGCAAGGTGATCCCAGAGGCTGCCACCTCCCTGGCAGGGCCCCAGGGCGGACAGATGATGACGGCGCTGCTGTGCAACTACCAGCGCATGATGCAGCAGGTACGTCGGGCAGTGCTGGGGTCTGCTGCGCTACCTGTGGGAGCAATTTGCCAGCTACCCACTCACATGCAATGGCGTGAGACCGCTTTGCCAACAGCTGGCATGGCGCTGCTGCCCTCCACCAATCATCACTGCAGGGGGAGCACAATGGCGACCTTGGGTTGCTGGCTGCCCACCTGTGCTTTGCCCAGGATCTGCTGCCCAACTTGTTCCAATCTGTTGGGCCCAACCCGGTCGACAGTGGCACCAGCAGCAGTGGCAGCTATGCCAACACACTTCAGCCCACCCTTGCACAGGCAACTTTGCTGCATGTGCTGTGTGCTGAAGCTCACGAAATGCCAGAGGCAGAACTTGATGGAGCAGCTGAGTAAGCAAGCACTGTGCGTCTGCTGCTTTTGGCCCGGGTGTCAGACACTGTCGGTGCAGCATTCTGTTGGCTGACCAGCGTCCGTATTGGCCCTCCCGTTCCACTTCAGGGCGCCACCAGCTGCCACAGCATCCATGTATTTCCTGGTGCAGCTTGCCGAGCAGCTGGCAACCGCTAGCGTCTTGCACCGAGCACTCAGCGAGGGGCAGCAGCAGGTGCTGCAGGATGCGCTGCACTTGATTCGCGGCATTTGCGCCCGCGATGACAGCGGCTGCAAGTTGGCGGGCGGCGGCAATGTAGTGGCTGCGCTGCAGGCTGCCGGCCTCCTGCCCGCCCTGCTGGCCATGCTTAAAGCACTCGAGCCCATTCAGAATCCACAGCGCCAGAAGGCGGCGGCAATGGCAGCAGCGACAACTACACCAGGCAGCAGTGGCATCCAAGTTGCTGAGCTGGCTCCCTCGCTGGCGCAGCGTGCGCAATGCTTTCCTGCCGCCCAGCCCTACCAAGGTTTCCGCACGGACCTGCTGGCAGCTGTGGCCAACGCAACTTATGGGCGACCCGCCGTACAGGTGCATTCCTAGGTCCAATCCCAGGCCCAAGCAGCATGTCGGACTTTTTGATCAGGCCTCTTCATTCATGCTCGTGCCCAACCTGCAGAGCGAAGTGTGTGCGCTCGGCGGGGTGGAGCTGGTACTGGCACAGTGCCAGCTGGACCGGCACTCGCCGCTTGCACGAGAGTGGGCGCTATGGGGGGTGCGCAACCTGTGTGAGGGCAATGCGCAAGCGCAGGTGCGGCGGGCAGGTCACGAAGCTGGGCCTGTAGGGCCGCTGGAGGATTGGGTCCCAGTATGCTGTCGTGAATACGAGACGAAGCTCTTCCCAGCCAGGTCACTGCTGCTCCACTGGCAATGCCGTCTGCAGGAGGCAATCCGCCAGCTGCAGCTGTGCACGACTGTGGACAATGAGGAGTTGAAGCGGATGGGTGTGCGAATGGAGCTGGACGAACACTCGGGAAAGTTGCGGGTGATCAAGCGGGAGAGTGATGCCACGTCAGCAGCAGCGAGATAACAGATGGAGCACACAGGAGCTGAGCACACGGAGCTGAGCATAAGCGACTAGTTAGATACGTGGAATGACCAGTTAGATACATGGAATGACCAGTTTGATACATGGAATCTATATACCATGAGCGAGGTAACATTGATGTCTGACATTAGTATCAGCTGGGAAACGTGTCTGCTAGCAGTAGTGATGGGCAGCTTGCTGCCCTGTGATTGTGGCCCTTGCTTGTACTGCTGCTCCATCAAGCGCATAGTTTGCCTGCAGCTCCTGCTCTGCTGCTACCAATGGCTGTCCCCCTTGTTCAGATGCAGGCTGTCGCTGCTGCTGCTTCACACGGAAGCGCTGCGGGATGGCTCGCTCCAGTGCCATGCTCCAGCCCTCCCCCCCGTGCAGCGCCAGCAGCACCAGGAACACATCGTTCACATTCAGCACTCCCTTGCCCTTGGTCAGAGGCCCGAAATGCTCCACAATTGGCAGCCTAACCGCCACGGCGCCGCAGCGCTCTGCGAGCTTCAGGCTCGCACCCTTCTGCACTGTGCGGTCAACAAGACCGCCAATGACGTACACCTGCAAGCCACCCAGCAAGCAGCAGAGGCACCCCGGGACCCGCTCAGATAAGACACCACTGAATGAAATTGGCGGTCAGCATCAGGCCATCCCTGGGATAAGCTCGTGGCATGTGCAAGCAGTGCAGCAATGAGGGCAACTTGCCTACGTGCCAGCACCCAGCTGACAAGGGCCGCCCAAAAGAAAAGAAGGGCACCCTCACTTGCCTTAGTAGCATCCAGGCTCAGCAGCGGCTTCTGCGCGTCGGGCGACAGGACCACCAGCTCCTGCGCCGCAAACAACTGCTGCAACGGTGCCTCATGGCTACGTGCCGCGGGCCAGCGGTCAGCGTGCATGCCCTCCAGCGCAAATCGCTTCACTGCGCCCGTGAAACTGGCAAACTGCAGGCTGACGGGGCGGCAGGCCCGCTTGTTGGCCGCCGCACACAGCTCCAGCTGCTTTGCTAGGCTGCGCACTTCGCGATCGCTGGCGGTGCCGCTTAAGGAACAATCCACTACTACCCGCAGCCCGTGCCCCATTGCCTCGGCCACTCGCTCTCGCTGTGCGGCGGCCGCCGCCTTGGCTGCTGCACGCTCTGCGTCCTTCTGCGCCTGATGCTCTGCCTGTTGCTGTTCGTCCATGGCCGCCCGCCGCTCCGACTCCTCCTGGCGCAGCGCCTCGCCACGGCGCTTGCGCCGGCTGTAGTTGCGCTGCAGCCGGTTGTGGTTCAGGGCGCGACGGCGGGCGTCCCAGAACTCGGGCGGCAGTGCCTTCCTGCGCACCTGCAGGGAGGGAGGGCAGCGGTTGGAGAGGGAGGCAAGCTGCAGCACGCAGCGTCGCCGCTTTCGCCGAGGCGACCACCTGGGCGAGGCGGGGGTCGTTCTGCAGCTCCATTTCGACAAGCTGGTGCATTTTCCACTCTCCATGGAGACCAGGGAGCGTGTAGAGGCGCTGCTCAGCCTGCTCGGCAACCTGCTCGGCGGGCGGCGAGCCAGCCGGCTCAGGCGGCGGCGGCGGCGGGTCATCCATGGTAGGTTGAATCGTTTAATTGATGCTGCAACGCACAAGGGCGCGGGACAACAAAGCGGGACAGCGGCAGGACATGTGTTGCCCGCTGATGTGGCACCTCCCCCGATTCGTCTGGCTCATCAGGCACGCTCTCTCCCGCGATCCCTCCCTTTCCTTCGCCTTTCAGAGTCTCTAAGGCTTCTATTTCTCCCCTCCCGCACCCCGCAGCTGCCGCAAATTTAAAATTATGAACCAACCTGTCATCCTTTATGCCTTAGAACGGCGCCAAAACGGCGCCAAGAATGTGTTTCTCACTAAGTCAGATGTAGAGGGCATCATCCGGATCAAGCAGGGCGACCAGCAGGCGCCCTCAGGCCGGCGGCGGCGGGGTGCAGGAGGGGGGGCGGCAGTGCAGGGCGGCACCAAGAACTACAGCAAGAAGGTGCTGCAGTTCTTCCAGGTGCTGAAGGGCGCTGGCGGTCAGGACATCCTGTGCCGCTGCGTCAAGCGCAGCGGAGAGTGGCGGTGGTGCCCCGTGGTGCCGCTCGAGGAGCTGCCCCGAGTGATCAAGGAGCACCACGAGCGGGCGACTGGCTTCAGCGGTGTGGAGAAGCTGTACACACATGTGAGTGATACAAGGGGGTGCAATGCTGCCGCCAGACCAAC